CAAATGAGTAGAAGTAAAACTTTCCTAGTGACTGTTTGAGTCGACCGTGAGACTGGCCATGTGCTTATTGTCAGATGAAAAATATTTCGTGTTAAACAAAAAGGAACAAAAAATGTTTAACGAGTAGTAGGTTTTGATGTCAAGGAATAATTCATCTAAGAGGGACAAATAAAAAAATGAAACCAACTACATTTTTGAATGGATTATTACGGTTTGATGTCAGAGGCGTATTGAGAAAAATAAACAAACAAATAAAAGTGACTTAACCATTTGTCGTGGGTCACGAATTTCGAAACAAACGTCGCGAATTTCTTTTCCGTCCCTGCAGTCCTTAGTCCACGCGCGCGTAATCCAACAATTGCGAGGGACTACAGGAAAAGAATGAAGTCACGCGGAAAAACCTTGGTCATGGACTGAATAGTTCCAAAGCTTTTCTAGGAAATACACCAAAATTCATATCAAAAGAATGCAACTTTATCAACTTTATTAAAGCCTTTGATATATAATGGTAAACTAAGATTTTTTGGCATATCTCTGAGTGATTTAGGTCGAAACGACTGAAAATTCCCGCTTTTCAGCTGTTATAATCGGCAGCGATTGCTTTTATGAAGCAAGTTCAAAGGCAAACGTTTTCTTCAAATAGCTTCTAATGAGAGAATTTCATAATTATTCACAAATGATTTTCGTCATTTTTGTGTGTTCCACAGCGGCGCATATATATCTAGATTAGGAAATTTATCAAAGTTATAGTCAGTTAATCATAGAATTCCAGAAACGCTTCGGACAACAACGATCAAAAGGCGACAGAGTTTGAGTAAAAAGTAGACGAGCAAGAGAGAGAATTAGGGAACCTTTAAAAGCGCTTTGCGTCCTATTGTCTGGTGAACAAGAATGACAAATGCTACAAATACATACTAGGTCGGCGCGGAACGTTTTAAGCAATTATGAAATTACTAAAATGTTCCATTAAATCTGGCTCGTTTGAAAGATTTATCATCAGGAACTGACAATATTCTTGATATAAAGATGTTCATAAAACGAATTGACACGAAATTAAGAAGAAAGGCTACTCTAGGCCAATACCTGGCGGCTATTTAAAAATGTTTTTGAAATTTCCATTCACTCCACTGGATATGAACTGTAGACGCAACAAATAAGCACACAGAGAAAAGGTAAATCGAGTCGCAGCGGCATTTAGCATCACCTCCTTCTGTGGTAGTTCTGCTGAGTTTCTTCTGGTAACCATCTTCAGAGTGCACGGTTTTCTCTCGTATTTTATGAGAGGACAAGTTGATGCCACTAGAATATCAGAATGTGACAGGGACCTTAAGAAAACCACGACAGCGACAGCGACGAGGACGTGGCTAAACAAAAGATCAAATGAATAGAATAATAGCTAGGCTCGTGCGTTCAAATCTTTGTTCATTTCTTAGCCGTCCTCTACATGACAACAACGTGAAATAATTTTAACTTGCTCGGTCTGAGAACGGAAACCACGCCGGACGGCAAATTATCTAAGTTTCCATCTGGAACTCATCGCTGCTCACATACGTTAAGCTGAAGTTGGAGTGCATGAGGGGCCACAAGAGACAGTTAAGACGTCCAGCCTTTTGGAAAATTCTGACTTAAAGTATTCATCTATTTTTTAATCGACGCCCTCCTCGGTGTTTTTGCCCTGACTGCTTAAGGTCCCTGTGCTGTATTGTTGGTAGCATAGCACGGGTAAGAATGCCTTCAAACGTTACCCTCTCTACCATACCGACGCATACCATTTATCAACCTTAACCTAATTCAGCGTCAGTTCAATATGGTGCATCTAATTAAATTCAAAGACAGTACTTGAACGCCAGCGTCAAAGTACTCCGAAAGGAAAAGAAAACAGTTCAGTAATCACATTCAGTCATCTTCTCTTCCAAACAAAATCAAACGATCTTGAAGTTGGTCTCTGTCCGTCTCCTCGACGATCTCGAGACAACTGTGCCATGGACGTCTCCAAGTCTACCAGCCTGTCGGAAAATTCCTCTCTTTGTCGTTTCATTTCTTCCATCAAGTCCACGCGTTCCCTCTCAAGAGTGGCTATCCTTTCCTCCAATTTAGCAAAAACTTTGCTCTTCACTCTTAGATCCGTATCGGTTCCATTTTCATTAGCTCTGTTTTTATCATGTTTGTTAGAAAGCAATACGCTGGTCCTTCGTTTGTCATTCTCTAGACGTTGTTTAGCAATATTCTCAATTTTCGTCTTTATTTCTGAATACTCGTCAAGCACTTCCATCAGATCGTTTTTAGACAAGCAAAATAACTCCGAATAGCCAACGGAGCGTACCGAAGCCGTCCGACGATTTCCAGCAGCACTCATACACAGAACGCTAATCTCGCCGAAGTAACTCCCGGCCTCTAACACAGCGTACACTTTGGTGCCCGTCTCCGACACCACCTCCAGCTTGCCCCTATTCACGATATACATTTCTCGGCCAACCTCGCCTTTTCTGCAAACGTAATCTCCTGCAGATAAAAGGGAAGCAATTCAGAATCCGCAATAAAGAGGGCCGTGGGAACGATTTTTTAAAGTTGTGGGGGGAAGGGGGCCATAATTACAAATGTCTGTGGCTTGTAACGTTGTGCTTCCTTCTGCATCAGCCAGCTCGTATTCATGCGGCAAGAAGGTCAGGCAAATGAAGTCTATAAATATTTTATGCCATATAGAATTTTCGTCTTTGCGTGTTTTTCTTAACTAAAGTGTAAGATTTGTATGGTATTGCGAGGAAATTCAGTTGAGATAAGTCTGCGCTTAGAAAGAAAACCAGCCTTCCAGAGCGGAGGGGTTGTTCCAAGGGCGGGGCAGCTGGCTCCCGCTCTTTTTATGATAAATTCCACTAAGTCAACATCATTCAAATCTTATCCTTCAGATGTGCGAAAACGCGCAAATCTGAAGAATGTAACCAGTCCTCCTCTGAACTGGACAACCTTGCATGAAATATCGTGATTGGTTGGTAGTGAATTTTCAATCTATCTACCAAGCTCAATAATTGTTTTACCATTCGACAATCAAGTTTACTTTTCATGATTCTTTTTAAAAAAAAAACACTCTATCAGCTTGAGAAGCGATTAGCCTGCTTTTCCATGAAAGATATTTGGTGCAACTGCGCATAAGTAGAATATTATTCGCAGCAAGACACAGTTCAAGTGTATAACGCATGGTCAGCCTATTAAGTGCAAGTCACTAAGTGGGTGCTCGGCCAATGAAAAGGAAGAATGTTACCTGGGGAGAACAACTGAGGACGGAGACGCAAGACCAGCTCGCTAAGAAATCCTGCTTCACAATCTTGAAATATTTCGACCTTTCTCAGTGAATCGAGATGTACATGGATCGCCAACTCTGCCCTCAATTTATCAGGCAGTGACTGCAGGAGTTCCTCTTCGTCGGGATGTTTTTTGTTCATCCACAGATAGTCAAACCATTTAATTACACGTTGTTGCAGATGCTGAGGAATCTTGTGAAAGCGCATATAGGACTTAATCCCGTCCATCTTATTTTGGAAATCCACTTTAGCAGCATTCTGATTGGTAATTATGCTGCCAACGTTTCCCACAATGGTAGCGAAGAGCAAAACGCCTGTAATAGAAGACGTAAACATCAATCAGTTCGCAAGTTTTGCTGACCTTTATCTATCGCGTGTGCAGATCAATGTCGGTATCGGAGCAACTGCACTCCTACCCCTCCCCGAGTTAGGATTAAAGTTGGGTTAGGGGAGGAGTGGGTGCGCAGTTTCTCAGGCATTAATCTGCGTGTACCTGTATTGCCAATTAACAAACAGATTCCCATGTTTCCGTGCGTCTTCTCTGTGTTACATCACAGATGACGTCAAAATGCAGTAAGAAAAAAAAAGTGGCACACGAAGTGCAAGTGCGTCACTGATGTTCTTATCACATTGTAAAGTCTCCAGTGATTTGTGACTGAAAACACCCACGGTGACATGGGGTCTACATGTTTTAAATTCACCACTTTACAGGTCAGTTATTTGGAGCTAACATAATGAACAGCTCCCAGTTGGCTTGTTAGCTCAGTTGGTAGAGCGCTGCACCAGTATGGCAGAGGTCATGGGTTCAAATCCCGTACAGGCCTGAATTTTTTTTGAGGCCTTATTTTCACTACTACTTACGTAGTGTTCATTACTGCGAAGATCGCATCCATATTCATTTAAATGATAAAATTATCAAAATATCGTTAACGTCACATCATCTATGCGTTTTACCTCCAATAGATTACACGTGTTAACCAATAAAAATGCTTGTATAATCAAGCGTAAGATATAATAAGGCTTGCCTGTGCATCTCCATACTAATGAAGGTCAATAGTGCTTCAAGTTGAGTCTAACGAATGATACCAAACTTACCTATTAAATAGTCGATTATGACTATAATAAATTCCACATTAGTATGTGGCGGTGGAACCTCACCAATCGTAGT